GGGTGGAGCAGGAAAACACGGTTCGTTCAGCTCCCAAAGTCAAGCGGCACAGATCGCGGGATGGCTGGCACCAAGGGTCAAGACCAAATCAAATCGACGGCGCTTCTGTCCGTATATGTCTGAAGTTTATGTGTATATATATATATATATATATATATATATATGGATGTACGAAGGGAATTTTCCATGTACAAGCACGATTTGGCGAGAACCGGGCACTAGCATCGCCCTTGGGGTAAGCCAGTAGCGAGCGGGTTGGTTTTTTTGGCACAGAGGGCCTGGTACGGGCGAGGGGTGGCGAAAGACGGGGGACAAGTTTCGTTTTGAACACCACCTCCAACCAAAGAAATAATGATGACGATATATATAATAAGACAGATGTGAAATGGTCAGATGCACCCGTAGGATAGATACCTTTCTTCCTTTCTCTGGGGGGTTTCTCTTGATTTCCTTCCTGCTAAAGGTTGGACGAAGTTGGAGTACCAGGCGTCCCAGACTGGAACACGAAGCGAGGAGAGTGACTTGCGCTTAAATGTCAGGTCGGCGAGGTATTCGACTTTCCCTGTTCGTATCTACTGCTTTTTATACCCGCGCAAGTAACCAGACGCCGTATCTTGTGCCATAAAAGAGTGTGGTGGAGATGGGGAGGGTTGCTGTTCTTTTCTCCCCCGTTGATATGGTGGGGAAGAAGGGAGGGGGATATGGAACAGGGGATGGAGTGGGGAAAGGGCTCCAGGAGGAAACAGAACAAATGAAAAAAGGAGTCTCAGAAAAGCTGAAACGAGGGCAGACGACAACAGGTGATATAACAAGACAGTGAATATATATGACGGGAGATGTAGAGGGGGAGAGAGAGAGAGGCAGAGATGGAGTGAGAGATTGGGTATGAGGGAAAGGGGCAAGAGACAGAGGAGGAAGAGGAAGAGGAGAAAGAGGAAGAGGAGGAAGAGGAAGAAGAAGAAGAAGAAGAAGAAGAAGAAGAAGAAGAAGAAGAAGAAGAAGAAGAAGAAGAAGAAACTACCCTCGAGAAACGTAATGGGCCCCGCTTGAAGAGATGGAGCGAGCAAGCAGCAAGAAGGAGAGAAAGGGAGGGGGGAAAGGGAAGAAAAGGGAAAAAAAAGAAGAGGAGGGAGAAGAAAGACGAGATCGAAAAGCCTTCAAGGGAGAGGCAGCAAAATGATGCTATCACGAGGCAAAGATGGGAATAAGAAAAGGGAAAGGGTAAACGAAGCTGAACAGAGAGAAGAGAAAAATAAAAGATGAATTATTAACGGAGGATAAAGGACGATCGAATTAGATCTGGAGGCATCAAATCAACCTTTTTTTTAACTGGTACCTTTTTCCTTTTTGCTTTCTTCCTCTTTCTTTTTTTTTTTTTTAAAAAAAAAAAAAAAAGCTCCACCAGCCTAATTATTATGCTCCCGTGGGAAGCCCCCCCCCCAGCAGCAGCAGCAGCAGCAGCAGCAGCAGCAGGTGATTAGTTTCAACAATAAGAGCTTTGATAGCCTAGGATTAAGAAGAAGGATGGAGATATGACAACTGCCGGATCTTCTGCCCCATGGAACTCGTTAGACTCTAGGGCCTGCTTGGGAAGGGAGGGAAAGGGAACTGCACCATGGGTGGGCCGTACAAACCTTGTTGGAGCAAATCCAAAATGCAGTAAAATCTAAAATAACCGCAGCGACAGAGACAGCGAGAGTCAGATAACCTCTCCGTAACCACTGAAGGGGCGAGGAATAGTCAAAGCGGGAGAAATCCAAAAAGTGTTTTTTAGCTATATGGGGAGAAACAACAACAACAACAACAACAACAACAACAACAACAACAACAACAACAACAACAACAACAACAACAACAACAACAACAACAACAACAACGAACAATAATAATCCTGCCAACACCATAAAATAGGTGTGATTTTATGCTAAGATTTACGAGCGTTCAATCAATGAGAATTCATCAAAGAAACCAATATGTAATAAAATAGACGGAAAAATACACGATCACTGGTATTTGGTATCTCCCGTACCAGAAACACCAAAAGTATCCAAGGTATTACTCACGGTTTCGGCGGGGAAGTATCCGCTCTTGCTGGTCTTGGCTGACTGGGCTGAAGGAGGAAAGGAACAGGTAAAGGTTAGAGGATAGTGTGGAGCACGCACCGTCATCAGCAGCCTTCAATAATCACCAGCGTCATTATATGGATATGGTTCCAATCTGACAGGCAGGCAGAAAACCTCTGGTTTCTTTTTGTCTCCCAATTATTTTATTATTATTATTATTATTATTATTATCATCATCATCATCATGATTATTATCATTGCAGCTGAAACTAATGTTCAAAATACAGCCATTACATACCAAACACCATCCCTGATCAACGCCAAATACACGGCAATCCGCTGGAATCGCCTGCCGCCGGCCAATGGTAACCCGGTTTGCCGCAGTGGGTACGCCGGTTGGAAATCCCGTCTGGGGCTATACCATACAACACACCCCCCCGTACCATACCGGACAGTACCCGTTAATGTGTTTTACCATACGGATACATCCCATACTTGCCATTCGCCCTGATGTCAAACCCCCGATCGGTGGTGGGTGGAACCTTGGGGTGGGCCCTCCATATTATTGCCCAGGGACGGAGTAGGCAGCTGATTGAGTCCTGGATGACGGAAGGAAAATTATAAAGACACCTATGAAGGGATGGATGATTAGGAGTCGCTTGGGGCTGCGTGGTTTGGGATAACACGAATGGTTCAAGGAGTTGCGATAACGCAAATCCTCTCTATCCAAGGTCTGGTTCATCCCCCCCATCAATATAGTTTAGTTCGTACCTTCAACCCAAACCGTGTTTTTTTTTTTTTTTTTACGTGTGGGAACTTTTGGGTTGAGCCTGAAATCCTGGTTCGGAATATACATTCAGCAGCCACTTTCTTTCCCCATGTTTATTATCTATTAGGGCGGGGCCACTTTTTGTTGCGGTCATTGTGTTTACGCCATACTGCGTTATTATAGTTCATGTCCGCCTGCTTGGGACGACACTTTTTTTGGTCAGGTACAGCCTCACTCTCCCTGTCAAAGCCCCAGAGGATCAGTCAAATCATCGACAAGCATTATTCGTTGGGCACACAAAAAAGTTGGGTCCCGTCGCTAGTCATAGGTACGACACGTTCAGCCGATTGTCCATATGCACAATGATGTCGATGGTACAGGACAAGCTACAAGCCCTGACTGTGGCCCCCGAACCTGCAACCATCACCGCCCCAATATGTCCCCGGATCTAGCTTTTCCTTTTTTTTTTTTTCTTTTCTTTTTTTCCTTCCAGTGGCTTATTAGTGTCGTCACCGCGAAAAAGAAAAGAAAAGAAAAGAAGAAAAAAAGAAAAAAAGAAAAGAAAAAAGAAAAAGAAAAAAAAAAAAAAGAAAAAAAACCAAATCCAACACATGATTATTCAGACGTATTTTCCATAAGCCGCTGTGGTTATTCATGCACACCCGGATACCAACCATCTCAGAAAAACAAGGGAGTCTCCGAAACAGGAACTGGAAACAGGAATTGCAAAGCGTGAAGCTAAAATCGTGGCTTTCCTCCTCGAATCGAAGTTTGAAGGTGTGATGAACACCGAGCAGAGAAAGCCACGATGATGCTGCTGCTGATGATGATGAGCATATGACCCAACCAGCCGGTGCAACCCTACGCCACAAGATTGAAGCCAGGCGAATAGAAAGGCGAAGAAATGCAAAAGGAAAAGAATAAATAAAATACAAAAAAAAAAAATAAAGGTAAAAATATTTCTTGACAAAATCTAGGCGAGGGACGTCACACACATCTTTTATTATCCGCCTTTGCTGGGCAGGGTGTCCTTTTGCACATGAAAATAATAATAAACTTCCATGTATTAACCATTCCAAAGTTGCTGCTCATTTCTTTTTATTATGGTGCTTCTTCCCCCAGCATTTTATCCATACTGCTGATATTTTTTTTTTTTTTCGGTCAGTTATTTTCCTTTGAAACATCTGTGTTATATAGTTGATCTCCAGCTTTTAATTGAAACCGAATTGTTTTGCTGTCTGCGGGTCCGGTGCGGTGCGGTAGCCGACATGCAGACGGTTGCCGGTCCGTCACGGCTACACCCATCAATCATCCATCCCATCCATCTCAATGGTACGTACCATTGGTAGTTATGATGAACTGAGGTACCATTAGCTCAACCATGAGTGGGAAGTGTGGAACCCACTCCCCTCGAAGGGGGGTGTCCTCGCTTTTCTCTTCTTGGTCCGTGGTGGTGGATTCTGTCCCTTTGGCCACCCAGGGTTTTCTCCAGCAGAATTAATTCACCTTGAAACTATATCCCCTTTCTTGCTTTGTTTTGCCTTTCAACGGGGAGGTTGAAGGTTCGCGGCGGCGACCGCCGCACGGGCTAAGGAGAAAAAAAACAAAATTAAAAACATGACTGCTTCCGTTCCATTGATCGAAAAAGTTTGGGCACGGAGCCCGATTGCGAGGACCATCCATGTCTACTAATCATTATTATTATTATTATTATAGCTCCAAGAGCACAACTCAAGGGTGTCCATACCGGATTAGGGCTACAGATATCACGGGATTCAAAAAAAAAAAAATTAAATAAAAAGGCGCGAACTGAACAAGAAGGTTTCAGGGATGTTGTTAAATCGACATTGATATTCAGAGTTTCGCTTGCAACAGGGAAAAATGACTTCAAAAGACAGAGTCTCATTCTTGAACTCCTATGCATAATTGGTCTCTTATCCTTGGACCCATTCGTTAACCAGAAAATAGGACGAGAATGTTTTGGCCCGAAGCAGTTCCGTGCGTATATCCGATAGAAGCCGCCAATATACAGCCCTACGAACTCGTACGCTCCCAAGGGGCCAGCGGGGCCTCAGTATTCTGACGCACGCCTCCTCCCTCTGGCTTTGAAACTTCTCCAACCCCCTCTGAACTTGCCACAGATTGGCAACAAATCCCACGTCCGTCCGGACCACTTGGTATCACCTCATTTTATTATCCACACAATAAGAACCACCCATGGGCCATGGATCCCAAGAAGAAAGACATCGACCCGACCCGACCGCGACCAGCAAAACATCTCCCAAGGTTAGGAAACCGATCTCCACCCTAGCCCTTAACGAATCAGCATGCAAATATTCCCCCCCCCCCGGGCACACAACAACCCTGTACAGGAAGAAAAGAGCTATGAAACGAACTGACTGCAGGGGAAGCCAGGATGAGGCAACAAATGTAGCGAAATAACAGGAGGCGAGCAAAGAAGCTTTTTTTATTCGTTTCAAATCAAGAGTCCATCCGGTCGAGTTACCATCTCTGTGTATCTCTGTGTTGCAATATATGTGAGCCACACAACCACAGACGTAATAATCTCTCTCTCTCTCTCTCTCTCTCTCTCTCTCTCTCTCTCTGTGTGTGTGTGTGTGTGTGTCTGTCTGTCTCCCTAGTTCCCCTCACCTCTCAGTTCCTGAATTAGGGAAATCGGGCAGCGGTCATGCCATCAACAACAACATCACCAACAAAAAGAAGAGAAAAGAATGAAAATAAATCAATTATTTTTAAAAATAAAAAATGAAAAATGAAAAAATAAAGAGGGTGACTTAGCGTGCAGTAGTTAGTGTCTGCGTGGACTTAATATGATGATGATGTGTTGACCCGCTCGAAATAGGTAGGCACCAAACTAAACTTGACCACCTTGGCCGCCTTGACCGCCTCCCAACCGCTGAGACAGACACAGGTCTCAGGTCCTCCGTAAACGGGGGCCATAGGAGCTATGAGGAGGTGATGGGCCGATGGGGCTCTTCCGGTTAATGTTGAATGGGTTATCGGCTCCATTGATAAAAGCACATAGTTCACTGAATCCTTCCATTATTCATCACTCCCCACCGAATCCGCTCTCTCCACTCTCTCACCGGAGGAAGAAGACGGTTAATTCATTCACGACCAGCCCGTATTAGGTTTATCTATGACCCCGTACTCTGTTATAACTACAGATGTTAAGTTGAACGATGTCCCCGAGCCAATTCAAGTGCGCCCGACAAACAGCCCCGCCGACCTAACCAATAACTGTTCTCTTCCCTCCCTGGCCGTATCATGTACCTCTCTTGTATTTCTAATGGTCAAGGAAGAGAGGAGACATTACGTGAGGGTGTCGCAGAGATAACGGAAAAGGCCGCGCGCTGAAACATACACACATCGAGCAACATCTATCAAAGTGACAGACAGATTTTTAGGGCTCCATTCTCCCGGCAGCCGAATCTAACTTAAGGTATGCATCGATGTAACTCCGCATAATAACCAACGAGGAGGAGCATCGGAAAAAGATTTTGTACCTATGATCTCTCCAAGAGACCTACCTGCGCCAAACACCTTCTGTCGACCGTTCTGCCGAATAAACTCAAAAACCCAAAAGCCGGCTTACGTTGATATCAAACCGTATCTAGTTTGCTAGTATGATTGCCTTGGCTTTCCGGGTAAACCGACATAATACACGGAGTTTCGTTTACCGAAAAACTGTAGCAAACACAAGCAGGAAAAGAGGGAAAAAAAAGAAAAACCAACCACAAAAAAAAAAATAAATAAATAAATAAATAAAAAAATAAAGAATGGAAAAAAAAAAAAAAAAAAAAAAAAAAAAGAAGGCCATGCAGTCACTCAAGTTTTGTTACATTTTACTTTTCCTGTGGGCCCTATGTCACCACCATGCGTGGTGGGTGGGCCGTAACAGAAATGTTTATCGTATCTCCGATCCTTGAAACAGCACATGATCCAAGCAGAAATGGATCAGCAAAAGAGGCGCGGCCCGCTCGTGCAGGAAATTAGTTTGTGTTTTAAGTTCCGCGTAGGCAGCTAGTTGCATTTTTGTGTCATCACTTGGCTCTTTTTTTTTTTTTTTTTTTTTTTTTTTTTTTTTTGATTTGATTTCGATTTCCACATTTCTTCATCTTCTCCTCCTGCTGCTGCTGCTGCCTGGGAGCCCAACTGGGGATTCTTGGAATTGGCTTTCTGGCCTTCAGCTTGGGCTTGGAATTTTGATGCCGCGTTTATGACCATTTACCGAGGCAGTCTCTCAAATCACTTTCTTTCCTGATGCAGGTGATTTCTCTTTGTGCCTTTCTTTTACCCCAAAAATTTTCCAATGGAACGAGCTACTATACGGTCAAGATGAGTATCATCTTCTGATAAGTTACCCGTGCCCTCTTTTGTTGTTGTTGTTGTTGTTATTGTTATTGTTGTTATTGTTGTTGTTATTTTCTTTTATTTATTAATTATTATTTTTTTACTTGCGATTACTTTTTGAGTTGAGAGCGTATAAGGTTGCAGTGGAATGTGATTTTACACAAGTTGAACGTGGCTTAGGAGTTTGGGCCCACTTATTTAAAACCCTAATCACCTCTGGTCACCTCATCTAACAATCAGTAGTCTACATAGTTACACCCCATCAGACGATTACTACCACATCTCACCTCAACCTCATCGCCCTACAGGTGGATTAGAGTTAGGTTAGAATTAGAACCTGAGAAATACGATGTATCACTCTCATCAAAAAAGCCTATAATAAATGTGTGTGAGAGATATGTGTGTATGACTAGTATAAGTAGTTTTAAATGAGACACTGAAGGTTTTTCCAGCTGAAATTTTAAAATCATGCTTCAACATTATGCCTCATAGAGACTAAGTTAACTAAACTAACCACTCAACTTGCACAAAACCTTGCTTAATTTAACCATGAATCATGAATGAGACTAGCTTATCACAAGAATGTCAAACTGTTTTTTTTTTTTTTTTTTTTTTTTTGTTTGTTTGTTCCTTTCTTTCTTTTTTTCCTTTATTTTTATTCAATCACTTTTCACTATTTTGGGAGAGACTCACATTCTCTGATAGTTACTCTACTCCACCAACAAACAGATCATATGGCAAACCCCGGTAAATCAAGAACATGAGGACGCATTCGAAAGAAAGAAGTAAATCCTGAAAGAAATAAAAAGTGTTTCACGTCATCAAGTTCATTTTAGCCTTTCAGAACGGAACCAGACTCCGTGGACCCGTGGTGTAAAGTTTACTCTTGATGTTGCTAAACTCCATTCTTCTGTGCATCAGCTACACTGTCAAAAGCCGCCGCTGCCGTCGCCGCCGTCGCCGTCGCCGCTGCAGCTTCTGCTGCTGGCCAAACGGAGTTCCGTGGACTGGGAACTCCAAAAGGGGTGTGGAGAAGCGGCGGTCCTGTTGACAGTTGTTTCATATTTTTACTCCTTATTATTATACTCTTTGTTATTATGATTATCATCGTCACCACCACCACCACCACCACCACCATCATCATCATCATTATTATTATTATATTCCATCTCAAAATACCCCAGGATCCGCTCCGTGTGTGTTGAAGCGCGTGTATTATTAGGCCGGCTAGGTCCTGTGGCCGGAAAACTTGATACATGGAGGGTTGTATAGAGTCAGAATCTGACACACAATAAGCTGTCGGGCGACCGCATGTTCCACATCTCGGCTGGGGGCTTCATCGTCTACGGTCCCTTCCGAGAGATTTCACAGGCAAAATATTTCACCGATGCCTACGGTCCGCTCTCCTAACAGGAACTCAATTCACAAACGCAATGCATCTGCATCTGGGAGCTTAAGCTGCTAAGGCCATTATTTCGAACATCTGTTAACACATTATTCATCTTTCACAATGTGATTCGTACGGATAAGAAGTGACACCCTTGTCTTTGGACGGACTTAGGAGTTGTATAATCCCATTTGCCATTTCCCCAAGGCATGGATAAATGCATCTCTCATAAGAACTGTGGACAAATCTGCCATCATTGCATCCTATAAACCGGAAAACTCATCAATGTTGATGAGCAACTCTTTGACAGAATCTCTGCCAGTTCGTCGTCTTAATTAAAATATCTGCCAGATGTCAAAGAAAATGACTGAAAACACAACCGCCCCAGTCTGTCCAGTAGATTTGCCTGCGAGTTGATTTTAATCCTCCTATTACCCGCCAAAACCCAGGATATTGACACCGACGTTTCCATTTTGAGGAGATGTAACACACACACACACACAGAGAGAGAGAGAGAGAGAGAGAGATCATTGGATTTGTCAAGTATTCTGCTGCTTGAGCAGCATCAGCTTTCGTACTACCTGGTCTCCTCAAGTCTGCTTCGTGCCACAAAAGAAAACGGGCTACTATATTTAATTAGCCGCTAAAACTCCTCTCACCGTTCCTCAAGTTCTCCCTGCAACCAGATCTAAGCCTGACAGCCAGATCTGCTACCTGCCTGCAAGGTACAGAACACCCTGTCTCTCAACATATACCTATACAACGGACATACTTGGCTGTACGCGTATATCCGCAGGAACTGGGTGGGTGTATTTCCGGGCTAGACCTAATAGCCCCCCTTCGTTAACTAGGTAAACTTTACGTTACCCAGCTTATTCTAAAAAGTCGATCTTCCGGCAAATCTGGTGAGATTCGATCTATCAAGGTTATGACAATCAGTTTGCCGGCCAGGAGTTCGGGGGAGGGGATCCCGGTATATTTTCGAAGTCCACAGTTTTGAGGGAAGCTTTGAAATAAAACATGAACGTTATTCAGGTTTAAGCACCCGGTTACGTCATTGGTGGGCCCAGGGAAAGGCTTTGTTTCTAAAAATATATTGGTCGACTTGAGAACTTGGCCGTTGTTGTGAGCAACAATTTCTGAGAACGTAAGTTGGCGGGTTAGCTGTCACGATTGATGTATAACTGTATACAGGTGTCTTTTCCTTGCTACCCCCCCTGCCTTTGCGCAATGATCTGAATGTTCGCTGTAAATTTATCTAGGGTACCTTGGTAATTATGATCTGTTAACCATTCGGTTGATAAGATTCACGCGATATTGAGCTTAAATTGCCGTATTTGTATATGCATGTTTCCGGAACCCTATATTTAGGTGTCTTTCGCCTGACAGATAGCTACGAACCTTAACTACAAGGATTGGGTTTCTCAAATGCCGGTGCCATCATCAGCTAAGCTCATATCAAGATGAACAGCCTCCTACCTCCTCAGCTCCGACGAGGAATATTGAAATGACTGATATCATTGTTTTACCGGTAACGATAAATTAATCGTCTCACATCCCTCATAGATCAAGAGCTGTTGGCGACGATCCACCACATCAGAACCGACACAAAGAAGGTGGGGGAAAATTAATAAAATAAAATATAAAATAAAATATAACATCTACAATTAAAATAAAAAAGAAAAAAGAAAGGCGAGAAAAGAAAGCAGACAAAATATATAACTAAGCGGAAACTATATGGAAATAATTGACGTTGTAGATGTGGCGTGATGGATCAATCAATTACTATGGTCGTATCCATACACCCAGGGCCACCTGGCCGCGTGAGGCAGTTGAAAGGTGGCGCAACCACTGCAAGATGCGGGATAGGATAGATAAGGACCTCTTTACGCACTGTTAGGATGGGACTTCCGCTCACAGGCGCATAACTTAACCCTTCACCTCCGTCATCACGCATTTTGCAACCCTGCCCGCCAGCTATTTGAGATGTATCACAGTATCGCGGAGAGAGAATTGCCGAAGGTCTGACACGATATCACACTATTCGCTGCAAGGTTTCTGGGGTGCATATCTGCAGGGAGTTGATGAGTACCAGGTCTCTCACCTGAATTATTTCTAGTGAGATTGCTGGACAAGATCTCCGGGATTTTTCCCCCCCTTTTTTTTTTTTTTTTTTTTTTTTTTTTTTTGGGTTAGCCGATATTGGCGGTTGGAAGCAGGATGATGGAATAACACTCAAGTTGGAAACAGACCAGTTATAATCCAAAGACAATATAAGAATGCGGCCAACAGATATATCCAAAATTGAATTTAAAAAAAAGAAAGAAAGAAAGAAAGAAAGAAAATGCGGTGTAAAATTCAAAATAGCGGTGGAGGGATTTTAGCCTAGATAGGCGGAGTCACAATGATGCCTACACAGTGGGCGTTGCGTGTAGTTGCGGAGACAGAATGGGGCGGGAATTAGGTACAATGCATATAGTTATATGCTCGTTACAAAACACACATAGCCGCCCAGCGTTCACCACTCGATTGGTTGATTTCATTGCCAGGATCGTTGCATGGGCTGCATAACTGCATTAAGATCACCCACACACCAGTGGTCCTGTGATCCGAGGCGGATGTGAATGAGCATTCATAGTATTTCCGTCCGTCCCTCCCGCTTTTTGCCTCCCGCTTTTTGCAATGCGGTCCGCTCGCACATTTTGGGGCATGTCAGCAGATGCGGTTGTTGTTAGCTGTGGACTGCGAGGGATATGCCGGAGTGGAAACCCCGGCTCTGAATACTGCTAAGAGTCGCAGTGTGCACGGTGTCAGTTGGACTTTTGGATATTTGGCTATTCGCCCTACAAGATGTGTGTGTCCAAACAGCTGCTGCAAAGGTGGATTACTCAGCTCAAACAGCGGCGTAGCGGAAGCCTCAGCATATTCATCTCGGGCAATAACTACGAAAATCTCAACGTGCCCATCGAATCACAGCCACAGAAGCTCTTAGATTTTTTACTTTCTTCCTAGTGATTTTGTTCCGGCACAACTACGGCCGACCATTTAAATATCGACTGCATCTGCATAAGCTCCCTTGCATACAGCGAACACGTTGGCCCCAGTCCCGTCCCATCCCTCCCGCCTGGCGCATTCTTAAAACAAAACCTTCCATTCCAGCTCGTCTCAACCCCCAATCCTGTCACCGTGATCATTTCTCAACCCAGCTTAAGGAGCATCTCTGGCTAGCTCATCGCTGCCTGGCTTCTATTGGAGTTGACTGGCCCCCCTCCCCACCTCTACTTACCGACAGGTATTTTGATCGATAACGGGCCGCTCCGTAATAGCTACTTGGCAAACATCAGCCAATTGAATCAAATGTGTTGACTTGGCTTTTTTTTTTTTTTTTTTCCTTTCCTCCGTTCTCTTCTCCAGTAACTTTATCCAAACGAAACGCAAGAGGAGAAAAAATATATAATTAACAAATTTAGCCCCTCTCTTCGGGGCGATGGGCGGGATGCAGATAGCACAGTGCCACATTGCAAATGAGCTTTTTGACTTTTGACGTCCTCGGGTGGAACACTGACACAACGACGCAGGATAACATAATGCAGACTGCAATGCGATGAATGCACACGCGGGGCATTGCATTGTTGAACAATCATGTGCTTTTCAATGTTTCCTCAAAGCAGCGGCGAGAGAGGGCCTGAACACGAAGGATCTTGCAGGCCTGCGCCCCATTTCTTTTCTCTGCCCTCTTTAGACCGGTGTTCCTGCCTGAACCCCAGCTTCTTGGAGGAGGAACGTCCAGCTGATGTCTGAACTGTCAACCATGAAAGAGTGCAAGACAGGGAGCGCCAGCAGCAATGGCACCATCCCTGGTCACGGTCCCCTTGTTGGTTTGTTATGCATACCCTATGCTGGATCGCAGGATGAGCGACACGAAAACAAAGTTGATATTGCCCGACTCCCATAACCAAGCTCGCTTTTCCGGATGGATGGAGACGAACGAACCGCTCTGAAGTACATGACCCGACATCTCTCTCCCTTCGACATGTGTGATATCCCCCTGGCTGTTGATCGGGGGCCCAGGGTACCTTACCGTATCCATACATACCGTTTTGGTAATACGACCAACGCCTCTGCGTAAATACGCAAACGGTATCGCGCAGACTGGCAGCGGCGTACCAAACCCCTGCCCGCCCACGTTTTGCTTCGGGTCAATCGGGGCATCCCTGCAATCCGTGCCCAGCGCAGCCCACGGCCAATAGAACGGGCCAACTTTTGCCGTCCGACCCCATAGGCCCTGTACCAGTGCACCAGGGCAACCACCGCGAGCCCGGGAGAGGGGGAGGGGGGGGGGGGGGGGGGGGCGCACTCCAGCATCTCGTTTTCCTTTGCCCGCCCGCCCACTTAGCGCACTAACAGCGCACTAAGGAAACTAACATACTCAAGTTCCCCTCCCCCCTTTACCGCCTGGGCAGTGGGAACTGGGCACCATTGACGTACCATCATAGCCCGATGGAGTATGGGTGACAGAACAAGATCCATCGGACCAGTCACATGGCGCATCTTGCAATTTGCTTGCAAGCGTGTTCCTCCCCAGCTGACCTGACCCTCTTTTCTACAAGGCCTCCCTTGTTTTTGTTGGTTCCTCTCGCCAGAGACTCAGATGGCAAGCCAATAATATTATATCCAGCTCTGGTCTTCCTTGTTAGCATGTCCCCGTCTGTCCCAGCAAACAGGCCAGGAAAATGGACCAACGTTGTCGCTAATGCAAGTTTGTCACCGCCTCCGTTGCGTAATAGAGCCTGCTCATCTTCGCCAAATATGGATCATGGTCGCTTCCCACTTTTGTCATGACGAGGAAGCCACGGGTGTGGAGCCAAAATCTGCCAGATGGGAACTTTGGGGGTTGTGGGCTAATTGGGCCTGCCTGAGTCTCAGGGCACTATCACTTAGTTGCTGGATACTAGCACATCAACTTTGATTCCAAGTGGTTCGTTTCACTCGCTGGATTTGTATATTTCTTTTTTGAATTTTATGTGTGTTAAGTTTGCGCCTCCCCTTCCCCTTCCTTTTCCTTTTTCTACTTCTTTACTACTTTTGCTGCAGCGTCTCGTTTCCTCCTAGCTCGCGTTCCACGGCAAACTTAAACCACACATTATCCCTGTCCTCCCGCCTAGACCCGCATATGATTTCGGTCATGTGCTTTGCAGGCAGCCAATGTGCGTCCAGAAGTGCGATGCCACAAAATGGCCGCCCCATTGGCCAAGCCTCGATATTTCATTGTCCTGGATAATCGGAATCCCAGAGAGCCCGGGGTTTACTCCTCTGCACTTGTTCCTCCGTTGGGTCTTGACTTCGCCCAAAAACAGAAAAGAAAAGAAAAAGAAAAAGGAAAATTAAAATAAGATATGTCATACTTTGCACAACCAGGCGAAACTTTGTGCACAGATCAGCAAAAGATCTTCTTTTCTGCTGTTTTCTTTTCTCTCCTCTTTCCTTCCAATGGAGTTTTGACAACTTGTCTATCCGTTCCTTAGCGAAATCAAGACTCTGAAACCGATAGTCCGGAGAATGGTGGAGGTGGTCGAGAGTGGAATGAACTTCGGGTCAAGACATTTTTGCGCCTGTTTTCCGACAGCAATTTAGAGATTGACTGACAGCTCGAGGCGCTCACTATTTAATTGTTTCGTAAATCCTCCGTACTATTTTCAAATCCATCATGCAGTAGTGCAATGTCTATTTTTATTGTCAGACTTCATTATTGTGTTTCTTCCGTCAAAGACGGAAAATACGGTCCAATTGTAAAATCAGATCTTTCCTTTAAAAGATTCATAGGTGTACGGAGTACAGGCCATATACATATACGTTATGCATGTATGACCTGTCAAAATCTGGCACCATACGCTCATTCCTCTTTCTTTCCGTTTCTTCACAATGTGGAGCACACCAAGACAGCAAATTACTTGTGAGGATCGCTAGAATTATCCTGTGAGCATTGTGGGCGCAGAACCAAACCGGGATTTCCGTCCCGGATCAGTGGCCTTGCCAACATTCAGGTTCAGGTAGCAGAGCAGCCGCCAGGCTGCTCAGCATCAAACACTCTCCTGATCTTCGTCTCTGCAAGATAAAGCCACCAGTTCAGAGAAAGACAAGGCACGAATTAGAACCGTGATATTTGAGAGAGTTCAGCCAACGACTTTTTCCCCTCACCTTGACCTGTGTCGAATGATCGATTGCCGTATCAGCAACAGCAGTTTTCTTGTTTCTCTCTTTTTCTGCTGGCTGAACGGTTAACATGCCAAAATCAGTGGAGGCAATTGGGATATCGGATATCAAAATTGGAGTCTGAGCATGCTCCCCCCCATCCGAGATGGGCCGATATGCAGTCATATATATGCATGGCTGCAATCGACAAAGCCGATGACTGGATTCAAAACGTTAATATTTAAACTTGGGAGTTAGGTACGTGTACATATAGCAGTGAAGTCCTTTCAGGCTTTCATCTTCCTCTGCACCCGTATCTGGAAGGATATTTTGGAAGAACTCCATCCATAGCTACGACGAATCTCTGCGATTCTTCGCTGTCAAAGCTGAAAACTCCTACCCCCTATAATCCGTTTTGCCATATAGCATATACTATGATACTTCTATTTAATTCACTAACTGCAGTGCATATCATTACTAATTCATCTCACATTTATCCTTCAAAGACCCAAAATCGCCTTCAATGTCTGCACATACAATACGCATTGTTCTCTACCCCCCATTTTTCCTGTGGACCCGACTTCCCTGCATCAGATCAGTTGTAAATGTCTGCTGGCTATATGTGTCACAAGTGCCCGCTGCACACAGCCTTGTCGAAAGAAATGCTATACAAGGCATACGTGGCTGCTCGTATCGCGCACATTACTACGTCGTACATTTTACCCCGTCAGAGATTGTTCTGCGAACAAAAAAGGGCACGTCGAATAATGCGATGAAGAGGAGGATAGCATATGCGCGTACTACCCTCGCTTTTTCCTTAACCTGGGCAACAAGGATAAACAGGATCAGAAGACACTGAGATTTTATGTTGTGCTTTAACCGTGTGCTTGTGGGAGCGGGAGCGGGACGGACGGGAGAGGCCATTGGCCTTTTTAGAAACCATACTGTAGCATCCATGAATAATGCATTTGATGTCGTTGTTGGGCATCAATTTCCTGTTAAAAATTGAAAAGGTGGGAGTTTGTCCATGCACATGGACATGTCCAATGTGCATGAGGTATCTCCCCGGATGGCCGTTTTGCGTGTGGATGGATCCATCTGCATCCTGACAAAAAAGCAAATGGTGAAGGTACGTTAAAACCAGGGTTTCTCTTTGACCGTCAAGACAGATAGGGGTAAGAGGAACATAGAGGGAGGCATATGCAGCATAGAACTAGAATAATCTAGCCATGTACTGTACCGCCAACTACGCAGTGCATCCTGCATATCCATTTAGAAAAATTTGCTCTTCTTTTTCTTTCCAGCTCTACAACCAGACCTGAATTGAGAATTCTCCTGCAGAACATCAAACCTTTCAATAGAACCTCCAACAACTCTGCCATTTAATTTTCCCCCGCGCCCAAGTAACCGAACCCCTTTCTCATACCAGATCTCGTCTCTTGTTGGCAGATCTGTCCAGTGTTGCGCAGGCCATTTTACCAATGGCTAGTTGATATTTCTGTTCAATGGTAGGAGCAACAACAAGCATGATGAATCTCACTGTTTTTATTACGTATTGTAGTGGAGGGGAGTTAGCATGTAATCCTTTCCCATCGCTCAAATGGTGTCGATGCAACACAATGTGACTTGGAAAATCGAGTTATGACAAAAGGCCCATGGCTTAGGTTTTACATCAAAAGTGGAGATATGCTCTACCAAAACACATAACTCACTTGTCGTTGGTATTTAGGTATGGCATTGATAGTTATGAACAACAAATGAGAACAAGCTGCTGACGCCTGTGCTCATGTTTCAAGAAACACTGTGTGGATATCCATCGTCTCTTTCATGTGAGCAGCATCGTTTTCAACCACTCCTAGTCCGCCATATTTATTTCCATCCATTGCGTGAGATAGGTCTATTCATTCCTCATCCTTGAAATCCTTAAGATCCTTAACTCTCATAAGCCAATGGACACCTGATGGAGAACACGGTACGAACTTTGGGAGACGTGGCAAGAATGCCAAAATTGAATGGTATGTAGTTTTGCGCCAAGTAATTCGTCTGCAAACCCACCCACGAGAGCACGGCCCGCAATTACTTTTCTTCCGGCTCCCAAGGTTTAAACACTGACAGGGTTTCAGGGAGACCGTGTAACTAGTGGTATGCTTTTTACTTAAGAGAGAGAAATCAAAAAGCTGTGGGGGGTTAACGGATGAAGAAAGACAGGGATGAACACAAATGGATCCTTGCACAAGAACGAAAACGATCAAATGAGGGCGAATGAGGGTGGAGTATGTCAACCTTTTTTGAGCATAAACCTGTCCTATATTCCTTTTTGTATTTTCATGGAACCAGTTTTTCAAAGCCCCCGATGCAACTACCGAGTAATCAAGCTGTCACAAGTTTAAAAGGGACAGTCTGGATAAGACCAGACGGCCCTGCCGGCGGGATGGTGTTTGTGAGGCGTACCATATCAACAACGGAATCGTATGATAATAATACTGTAGATCGGGATGCATTGTATGATGCACAGGTTCATTTGGATTTAGTAAGAGCCTTTCAACACACGAATGATGGTGAGAATGAGGGTCACTTGTCTAGTGTTTGAATTGTGTGCTGTGTGCATCCGGATTTGGTAAGGTAGAATCAAAAAGTTGTATCAATTCGTGAAATATGTCAGAATGCGATTGCGGATCAAACACTCCAAAGCCAAGAGCAGCATGGTCCTGTTGCATCCAGGATGGGTACACCAGTGTCTTGATGGCCTGCAAAAGAGGAAATCGCCAAATAGTCCTCCCCAAATAGCACAGAATCATTTTTGTCGTATAAAATGGAGACTATATAGTTAGGGGGCATCGGTATTGGACTATCTTATGATACCTCTCCAATGATAAGAGCATTTCTACTCAGGTTCGCTAACCACACTAGAATCAGTGTCTCCCTGGTCAGCACCTTCCTCGACCTCATCCCCATTACCGCTTTCATCATCATCATCATCATCATCATCATAACCTTCATTATCAGAATGGCCGGGAGGATCGGGCATCACGACGCTGTTCAAGTATGTGACCTGTCAATAATTATCCATGTTAGCCCAATGACTTGCCAAACCATCGAGCTTGACATCGTAGTCAATACGATGATGAGGTAGATAGTATTGTGTGTAACTCTTCGCCAACACGTTTTTACTGAACAAGTTTTTCAGCATAGGGGTAGTGGAGTCAAGTAATTAGGCTGGCGGGGCCCTGAGGCGGGATGCAAGAATGCCTGAAAATTGGTCGACGCTTGCTAGTATTTCCAATCCGCCATGCTGCCTTACGACCATAGAGCGAAGCAGTGATGAAGGATGAAAGGGTCAGTATTCGCCACCCGAAGGT